TATACATTGCATTTCATTTGTATTTTTAAAATATTTTCGATAATTTAAGCATTTAATGCTCATCAACTTTATCGATATTGCGAAATTAATGATAGAGGATAAAAGTATTTAATTGCAACAATAGCATTAATTACTTAAATATGCAATAGCAATTAAGAAACTAACTCAATTTTGACTACATATAAGTCTCTTTTAATTTAATTATTTCGTAAAAATAATTTATTTAATTAGAATAAATTTGAATTTTTATTGTATCTTTATAAATGCAAACTCGATGCATTTAATTCTATCGTTTCTATTTAAGAAAATTATTAAATTTTATATAAAATGAATATAATTATTATCTAATTTTATTTGTGAATGAAATTTATTATTTTTTTTATATTATTATTAATAATTATTTAATTTTTACCTGAAATATTAAATTTACACTTAGAATCGGTTCATCAGCTTGGGCCAATTTTAACAGAATTTGTTTCATGAACTCTAAATGTTTCTTCCACGTGCTTTGTAATTTACATTAGACTGAATTTTCTTTCCATTTTAGGTTCATTTTGTATAGTACGAGAAAGTCATAACACTCATTTTGAGTTTGATATTACAGAAAAATCCGCAAGTGATCATTTTAATTACATATTGTTATTGTAAACTACAATAAAATTACTAAGAGATGGAACATTTTTGGCCATAAGCAAAACAATGAATGGAAAAATAAAAATAATAAACATTTATATTTTAAAATTCTTAATAAACATTTTAATTTAATATAACAAGATTAAAAATTAAGATGGATAAAAACTGGTGGCTTTACTGTATAAATTATTTAAATTCTTATAAATGTTTTAAACATTTTTATAATAAGTACATTAAAAGTTAAAAAATTGTATTTTAAATTATGAAAATTATTTTGTACGATAATTTTGCACTTGGAACAAAAACGATAAATAATTTTAATAATTTAAAATTTATATAACTTCTTTACCAGGAATATATCATATATACCTAGTTTATTTGAACAGATTTTATTTCAAAACATTTAATATAATTAAAATATTTTTCCTGAAATTTAAAAATAATTGTAAATTAATAATAAAATTTAAAGACTTTTCCATTAAGAATTTGTAATTCGAATTGAAATTTTAGATTTTTTTTTTCTTCTTTTTTTCTAGTAAACCAAAACGAAGAATTGAGCGACACTAATTAAGGAAACGTCTTCCAATTTTGTTTAAAAAAGAGGAAGTTTTATTTATAGAATATCTAGGTAATTTAGAGGCCGAAATTGGGTTCAAAGACTTTATACTTTAATTGCAAGTCTACAAGATTTTCAATAAATTAAAACAAGTTTTCTTCAAATTGCACTGAATGTTTTTTAATTTAAAAAGTCTTCTTTAAAAACAGGAAATATTAAGACAATAAAGACTCGAATAAAAAATTCTATAGCTGAGAGAATAATAAACTATGAGTTTTTTAGGTCATGGTTTAAAATATAAAAAACATCAAGAAAAAATAAATAAATATATATTTTTTGGGGGGCTTCATTTTTATGTTAATAAAATATTGATAATACAAATGTATAGAATTTAGGAAATTAAATATGCATTGAAATTACATTATTATTATTATTATATACATATATAAAATTATTTTTACATTTATATGCTGTGGATCAGTTGTTGTTTGTGTTTTAGTGATAAATAAGATATTACATCTGTTTTCATACTCGAAATCAATGTAAAACTGGGCCGTTCGGTTTTAAATGTTTTTATATTAACCTTGAAGCTACGACATGTTTCAAAATGTTATACATTACGCATCCCCTATTATGCATAACATATTTCTCTGAATGATAATGATAAAACTATTTTTTCCTAACTGTTATCTCTTTCAATTCCTCTGAAATATGTTGAAAAATTATAATAAATACGATTAGACATTAACTAATCAGCTAATGCATTCTTTTCCTAAATTCAATTTTCACAAGATTTTCATTAAACCTTTTAAAACTTTTCTATTTATAAATATTTTTACGTTGACATTTAAAAGTCTTGCAGTTTTAATAAACTTATATCAAAATGTACACCTTTAAATAATGAATATTCGAGCAAACATATTTACGCTCATTCATAAAGACAAATATTAGATTTATAAATAATTTATTTTTATTAGTTTATAAAGTGATAAAAAATTTTATTTACTTAAATTTCCAATGATAAATATATTCTTAAATGATAGACAAACTTCCTTTTATATTTAGATTTTCGACTAACCTGCAGTATTTTATTACGTGTATATTTTTATCAACTTTATTATTTGTTTGTTATGTTATTTTGAGTAAGTTTTTTTAAGGATTATGCCCTAAATATCTTTAATGTATCTTACATATTTAAATTTTTTGAGATTCTCTTACTTAATAAATTTCAAATTTATAAATAAACTCAACATCTGCAAAGATTCATGCTTCAAATTTTACTTATTATCCGGATTTTTTAAGTCATTTTTTAATTGAAAAATATTAAGAAATAGAATATAACCGTGCATGAGTGATAAAGTAGAGTGATTTGTGCATAAATTGGTTATATCATTTATCCATTCTATCGATTTAGTTGCATCACATCCCATGTTTTATCTTGTCACGTGTTATTTGCGACGTCACCACTTACCACACGATTAGTTTGATTTATATATCAATGTTGCACTTGCATTATCGATAGAAATTACGTAAGAAAAATTTTTGCCCAATTTCCGTATTTACCATGCTCTAATAATCTGTGATTTCATTAACCATGGCCGAATAGCTTTTGGTTTACGTAGGAAAACTTATATAACATTTACATAACATGTTTGTTATTAAAGCAAAAGATATTAAAGATTAACAATAGTTTATTATCTTTTATTAAATATATATTATAGAAAAATTCATTAGTTGGTGAATTCCCTAAAGATATTTGCTATAGTTTAGCTTTAAAATATAAAGAAAGTAGTAAAAAAAAACAAGTTTAAGATCTTAACTCACTTGATTATTTATTCAATTTGTTTGATCCTGTAAATACATCTTTCCACAGAAAATCATTAAAATCTTAAATAATTTAGATGCTCCTACTTATTTATTGATACATTTAAAACAATAGCAATTAACATATAAAATAAAATTCTATTGTAAAGAAATAAAAGCAGAATTGTAGAATAGGAAATAAACTCATTATAGAAAATCAGAATTCTTGAATGATTTAAAATATATATATATATACTGGAAAACTTATTTTTAAATTTCAAAAATCAATTTAAAATAAAAATAAATCTCATTAGTTTGTGAAACTTCAAAATTTCTATTTTTCTTTTCAAATAATTTTGGTTTCTGAATTTCTTCCTTAATTAAAGTAATTAAATTTAAAATACTTATTTAGTTTTATTTTAATTAAAAATATTTTATTAATATTGCAATATTCAATTTGTAATAAATGAATGTTTATTTGTTTTAGAAACATTATCAAATTTTATAATTGCAATGTTTGTTTGAGCATTAATAATAATAATAATAATAATAATAATGAGTGAAGTAAATGAATTTGTTTTGTTATTTGCGTTTCATTGAGAAATTACAAATGTTCCCAAGGCAAAGACGACTTCGAAAATAAAAACGGGTCAAGCGAACCAAAACAGAAAGTAAGGCAAATTACCACCTGGCGGAGAGATTGGTGGAGAATTTACACGAGGAGTTTGTTTAATTTTAGAGAGTAACGTTTGTAAAAAGAGCAACAGAGGGCAACAAACTGCACGGGATGACCTCCGCGGTGTCGGAACGAACGAAGCGCCATCCCTTCACCATCACGTGGTTCCTTATATAACGCAGTAGCATTCGGTGGGATTCATTACGTAAAGAGAAAGCGAACGGAGCCTGCGCAGTGCTCGAGTTGTGTGACAATCGCGAGCCATACTATGATGAACAGTAGCTGATAGTTATTCACGTAGTCAACAACCATGTACGGACACATGTTCGGTGAGAGAGGCGAAGAGAATGTGGATCTACTATTAGGTCTAGCAGATTCTCTCGTGAGCGAAGGTAAAGTAACACAAGCTATCGACGTGTATAGCAGAGCTTACCGTATCGGATCTGTGTCGCCAGAAAGACTAGGGAGTTTAGTAGAAGCTATGGTCGAAGTTGCCAGAGAGCGTGCGTCTGATACTTGGAACTCTTCCCTGCCTAGACATGACATTTTTCTATGTTCGCTCTGCCAAAGTATGTACGTCGATCCAGTCACTATCCCTTGCGGTCACACTTACTGCAAGAGATGCCTGGCTAAAGATTGTTATCCAAAGACATGTAAGAAGTGTGGTGTTTCGCACGCTCAGAGTCAGTTAACTCCTCTTAAATCGAACGTTTTGATTACGACAGTTCTAGACAAGTGGAAAAATAATGAAATGAAAGCTGCTAAATTAAGACTCGAAGGTTGTGAACTGTTTCAGAGAGGAGAGGCCATTGCCGCTTTAGAGAAATACAGAGAGGCGTTCGACCTCGGTGAGTGTATATTTTCTCTACTTAAATAATAAGTACAGGTATTCGATTTTCTTTCGCACGCAATTATTCGCTTGATTTTTAACTTAATTCCTTCTAAAAAATATATTTTATAATAATAAGTATTAACGATATATATACAGTATTTAACGCGCTTTAACCGAAAAATTTATTATTTATATTTCGGTTAAATAAAATATAACGCGTGTTCTAATATGGTGTCAAATTATTAATGAAATTGAAGTGGTATTTAATTTTGAATTCAAATCATTTTGAAAATGGAGATCCCGCGTCGCTTTCTATTGGTGAACTTTTGACCAATGAGGCGCGTCTTATTATGAAAAGTGCTTATACAAGTTGATAGAGGGTCACGTGACGAATGCGAGTCCTTGTCCTCGCTACGGTAGCGGATCTTATACAACTATCCCTTAAGGCAAGTCAAAGTTCGAACACGTGTACAAGATTTCGATAATAATAACCCAGTGTTTAAGCGTCTAGACTGTTTATCGAAATTATTTTCGTTGTTATCGCTATACAGAAATAAAGAATCTTCGCAAGAAACACTAGTTTCATTATTATAAGAATTTTTTCGATTTTTTTTATGACTTAAATAATGATGTAATTAGTTTAAGGAAGAATAGTCAATAGAAGGTTTAAATTAACATATTGGAAATTTTAAACGAATGAAGAAGCGGCTTTATTTTAATGAAAAATTTAAGAAATGCGTCTTTAAAAGATTTCCTTGTTTCTATTCGGGTTAAAAATTATAAAGTATTATATAAGTAGTTGTTTTCCCGAAACTAACCCTTACGTAACTAGCACTCTAGAGCTTTGCGTCATCATGCGCTTGATTTGCAGATTTACGGTTTCTTTTATTTATTTATTTATTTATTTCTTAAGAACACGTGCGGAATTATTGCAGTAATATACTGTATATATAAGTTCTATTTAAATCATTACTTAAATTAACTAATTAAATGTTTTATTTAATATATGTAAAAATTATATATATATTTATGCATGGTAGAATGCAAAATATTCAAGTGACGAAATGAGGTTGCATAATTGTTTCGTTGACAAAAAGTTTGCCGTATCTCTCTCTCTCTATTGCCAACTCACGGTTCACATACGCGGATTTTCGGTCGATCCGCTACACGTGTCGAACTTCGATCACGTGATAGCGGGGAGGATTAAACGGAATTGTTTACGTGTTCTTGTCATTCTGATAGCGTGACTTTCCGTGTTCGCTAGTTAAACATCACAAGGTTAAATCATATTTTTAAAAATGCCACCCCGATTGTCGCATTTGTTCACATACGTGGGGTATTTTCTACTCCCAAATTATTTATAATCGAATATATAATTAGAAAATTTTCGTGTCTAATACTTCCTTGATTAATTAATTATCTAATTAAAAAAAAAAAGCCGAAAATTAGAGACGGAAAATAAAATTGTTGGAGTGAAGATTGTTAGGTTTTGAGTCATCGACACTTTTAAAACTACTTGTTAACGCGTAACAGGAAGATGACGAATTTTTTTTTGCCTTGTTGGACCGTATTAAAAGGTCTGATACTGTATTGTTATCAATAGCCTACAACACCGAGGGAGGTAACACAATTTCCAGTCTGTCGGAATTGTAAGCAAAGCGGTCATCTTAACTATTATCGTTATATAATGACACTTTCGCTTTGTTGATTTTTCTCGTTACGGTGTATATCGTCGACGTAGGTGTATATCAGCATTAAATGTCGACTAGAAATCCGCTGAAAGTCATAATAATTTAAAATATTAAAAAATAAAAAAAAAATAATAATAATATACGCCCAATTTTACATTGGGGCGAAATTGTCTCTACTTTTTCCCTCTTTTTTTTCGCCGTTTTGAATATTATTTCCGGGGCGTTGGTTTCTTTGGCTACATTTTAAATATATATATGTATATAAGTACGTATATACATATATATTATATATTATAACTTGTAATTATATAAGAAATAAAGGTTTAAGTGTATTTAAAAGTCCTTATATAAGGCTCTGGATGTAACTTATATAAAACTTAACTTATATAACGAATTTTTTGAATATTATTACTGTATTAAAAACTCGTATGTAAAGGATAAAGTAAAATAAAATGATTATTGCCGTTTTATTTCTTTTGAATAATTTATTTTCTGTCGCCATCGCGAAACGATCGGTGACGGACTATAGCATTGACGTCACACACGTGCGGCACGTGGCAAGGTTAAATTTGAAACTGTGTTAGAGGCGATTCTTTTCCTTCTCTCCCTATTCTTAAATTTAAAAAAATAATAATAAAAATAAGAATCGAGGGCTCGTAACCCGTAAAGGCGGATTAACGTGTATAAACGAAAGGTCACCAGGGGCATCTATTTCTAGTTAGATTATCGATTTAAGAGAAATAATTTCTCGCCTTTGACTCGTCTGCAGCCATTTCCGCTGTTTTCAGACAGATTTTTCAAATCATTTCTATTGTAATTCGTGTATACGATCTTTAGAAAAATCACATTTAATTAATATAATGCATTTTATTTAATAAAATATATATAAATCGATGAAATTTATCTGTGGTGGTTTATAACGACGTTATTAAAAATATAAAATATAGGAAATAAATAATTACAACAATTATCTTAAATTATATAGTCGAATATAAGGTTTAATTATCGTATTAATATATATTTTTTTAATAAATAATAATAATAATAATAAATTTAATATCAAAAATCCGATCTAACTATTCTGTCGTTATTTGTTTTCCTTAAACGATATAACGCGAAAGCGCATGCGTAACTTCTAATTACGTCATGTGACCGACTCTTTTCGGCACGTGGACGACCGTTGCTATGGCAATGTGCGCCTTTCGAGTTCATGTGGAAGGAAAACAATTTGCGTTACGTCACGGATACTTTTTTTATTATTTTATTTCCTTCTTATTTTCTATCCAATATTTCCTCGCATTTGAAAATAAATCTAATTTGAAATATATCGACTACAGTCTTAAGATTTCTACGATTTATTATATATAATCATTTTCATTTAGATGCGTATTTTTAGTCGAATAATTCTTTAATAAATAGAACAAATGACAATGAATGGTCAATAGAAAGTAGGACTTTTGTCCGCTTTGAGGCTAAATTATAATATTTGTTTGTCTTCTCCATTGTTCCTTTTTATTCAAAATAGTATTGAAATGTTTAATTCTTTGGAATTAACATCAGATATTAACAGTGTACTTGGCACACAGCGCATTTATTTTGTTCTGTAGCTTGGAAAACCGATCAATTCTGCTAATTTTTCCTCGTAACATGATTCGGATAAAATACACACATAAGCTTAATATATATATATTTACAAATCGTCCCACTTGATATATACACTTTTTTGGTCTATCAACAGGTGGAAAGTACATTTGTCACTCTTCTTTCAGAAATTGTTTATAAAATCATACTTCAGAAGGATGTTTCTGCAATTCAGTTTAAACAATTTATATTAAATTTTATAAATAGAAAATATTTTCCCAGTCACTTGTGTGTGTGTTTTTTAATTTTTTTTTTGTCTTGGATAAAATTGTATACAAGAAATCACGTATTAAAGATCTGGGGATTACTTTGATAATCTTGTCTAACTATAGCATTTATTGTTATGAATATAAGCATTTTTTTTTTTTTAATATCAGCGACTTAAAACATTCAAATGATCAGTAAAAAATATAAAATATTTTTTATTTAGAGATCATATCAGATTCTATATTATATAACATAATATATGAAGATGTATTCTATCTATAGATTGAAATGATAAGAAATCTGTCATCATATAAAATTATAAGGTTAGATAGGTATTAAGGCTATTTTTATAGATATGAAAATATGTTTACGTGTAAACACATAGATATATATATATATATTTATTTAAATGCTGTTGTATATAAAATAAAGTACGAATCGCTGTAAAATTGCCAGTTTAAGAAAAGATGTAT